TGAAACCTCCACTGCAGGAACACAGGCTCCAACTTCGGCCTCTACCATTTCCACAACATCCGAAGCAAAAATAGGAAGCACCGCTGGCACCACGGCTGTCCCCACTACCACACGCCCAACAAAGGAAGGAACAACAGCCATCGCAACTACCACCAGGACCTCTCCCCCTCAGACTGAAGGCACCACAGTCATCATCACACCCACACCAGCAGTGCCCACACCAGCCACCAGCACCGCCAGCACCTCCAGGACAACAGAAGGAAGCACTGCAACACCTTCAGCCAAAACTGCTCCAGGTGAAACCTCCACTGCAGGAACACAGGCTCCAACTTCGGCCTCTACTGCTTCCACTACTCCTGAAGCAAAAATAGGAAGCACCGCTGGCACCACGGCTGTCCCCACTACCACACGCCCAACAAAGGAAGGAACAACAGTTGTTGTGACCACCACCAGGACCTCTCCCCCTCAGACTGAAGGCACCACAGTCATCAAGACACCCACACCAGCAGTGCCCACACCAGCCACTAGCACTGCCAGCACCTCCAGGACAACAGAGGGAAGCACTGCAACACCTTCAGCCAAAACTGTTCCAGGTGAAACCTCCACTGCAGGAACACAACCTCCAACTTCTGCCACTATTGCTTCCACTACTCCCGAAGCAAAAATAGGAAGCACCGCTGGCACCACGGCTGTCCCCACTACCACACGCCCAACGAAAGAAGGAACAACCGTCATTGCGACCACCACCAGGACCTCTCCCCCTCAGACCGAAGGCACCACAGTCATCACAACACCCACACCAACACTTCCCATGTCAGCAACCACCACTATTGCCAGCACCTCCAAGACCACAGACAACTGTGAGGAGCGCTGTGCCTGGACACAGTGGTTTGATGTGGACTCCCCTACACCTGGTAGCCAAAATGGAGACTTTGAGACATATGAAAATATCCGAGCTGCTGGTTATCCACTGTGTGACAAGCCACAAGACATCAAGTGCCGTGCTAAAGATTACTCTGACAGAATTGTGCAAATAATGGGACAAAAATTTCAGTGCAGCCTTGACACTGGGCTCCTGTGCAGAAATAAGGATCAGACTGTCAAGTATCCGATGTGCTTTGACTATGAGGTCTCAGTGCTGTGCTGTGACCGTAAACATTGCCAGACAACATCAGCAATTCCAGGGACCACAGTAAGGGCCTCCACCACATACTACTCTCCAGAAACCACCACAGTAGCAACCCAAACTGCACCATTAACAAGTA